TAGAGGATGTCAGTCAACACACACACACACACACACACACACACACACACACACACACACACACACACACACACACTCTCACACACACACACACACACACACACAGAGTTATAATCTATTCACTGTACAGTGGGTATTGGAGAGGATCAGTGGTGTGCGACTGCATATTTCTGCAGAGAGACATTATTTCTTCCCTCAGTTCCTCCTGGCAGAGATCTGAGTGTTTGACCTTTTTAAAATGCAAAGCGATTCTTCTACTCCAGAGAGTGAACGGGAGGCTCATGATTGTGCTACTAAATTTGAGGGACTTAATGCAGTAACTCAAAGAGAGGGAGAGCTGTTCTGCACCTGCTGAATTCTGACTTGGTTATGGGGATACAATAACACCTCCAAGGGTTATGTTAATCTTTAAAGGCGGGTTATTCTTATGCTGCTTCACTCTTTACCTCATTTGAATGAATATTTCACTGCAACCTTGACTCAGTCTCTCATGCTTAAATCACCTTATTGCATAGCATTTCCTTTTACTGGCTCTTGATGCTGTGTGCGTACTATAATACTTGGCTCTTTTGATTTATATGTCTTCTAACATCAACATAAACTGTGAAGATCTTAATTCATTCAGTCCATGCATCCAATATGTTGCTATTCAAAAATAACCTTGTATAAATCAGTGTGCATAACTCCGCTACTTTTACACTGGCTACATCATTTACATCTTTCGTCCTTCCCGAGGAGGAGAAGTGCATTTAATTTAAGTTCAACTTCACCACTAGAAGACTTTATCCACAGCTAAAATGTGGAGATCATGTTAAATTGAGATTTTAACAACTTGTGACACATTCCACACATTGTAATGAGCGGCTCATGGCAGTGTAATTTACATTTGATAATAATGTCAGATTCATGGGAATATGCCATTGTACACTTAGTAGACACACAGTGAAGCAGTTTGTGCTTTTTAGATGGCACAAAATCTCATGATAATAACAATGGCCACACTCACATCTAATTATATTTCTCTGCATTAAGGCTTCTGTCATATCCGTTAAAGGACATAAGAATGCCTTCATTGCCTCATATTTATGCCTTCAATAGAATGCAAATGAGGCAGATTTACCCGTTTGACTGGAAAATAAGTGTGAAAACGGTTAATTAGACTTGTTGTGAGGTCTGCAGCAGGAAATAGAATGCTGTGATTATGAGATGTTGAAGCAGTTTTCAGGGCTGACTATATAAACAGTTACATACAGTATGCGGCGGGGCTGAAAGCAGGAAGTTACACAGGCTCTCTGTCGGAGCAGAAAATAGAATCTCCGTATTTTAGCTGTGTCACTTTGCTCTTCCTATGAGAAGACTGAGGCAGCCTTCACTTGTTGACATATTTTTGATCAGCTTCCTGTATGAATGACCCCCTTTTGTTCAAGTATGAAACACTGCATAAGCACTCTTGGATGTGTGTGTGTGGCCTATCTCTGGTTCTGTACATTGCATTATGCCTTTTACTAATGAGATTAAAATGTGGTTATGAAGGAGCAGTGTGGTGGAACTAAGAGGTGGAGCTTCTTAAGCAGTGATGAAACACTTGGTAACATTGTGCACATGCAGCAATCGAGTCAAAGCTTTTGGGGCTATAAAAGTGTGTTTCTGAAGAAAACTATCCTCTGTGGTTTGTGCATTGTTTCCCCTTATTTTAAATATATAACAAAAGACAAAAAAATCAAGAATGCATAAGGCTTATTTTGCTTGAAAAACAGCTAATTTTTCTTCATGTTGCTATTTAATTACAGATACAACAGCTATGAATGCCTTCATGTAAAGCATGCATTATAAATTCATCCATCCTTGTATAAACTACTTGCTTGTTCTTTCTCTGGTGGGATACTTGAACAGACTGCTGCTTGTAGGTCTTTGTTTACAACCAGGCTAATGTAATTATTCTCACCACCTACGCACAAATTAACATGCAAGCCTTGTCGGAGGTTTGAAAAATGCATGGGGGAATGTGATTTAATGCAAGGATAGGCCTGATCTTTTGAGGCAGCGTCTCGATCGGAGCCTGGCGGACCTCACAGCTGCAGCACAGAAAAGAGCTGCAGCTAACATGCTCCAAAGTACTCTGTTAAGGCACACATGCACAGTGCAAAGACACACACACTCAGGCAAACACAGAGCTTCCCAGCTGGGTTTTAGCAGGGGAACTCTTATCTCAACTGAACAAACTCTTCAAGTGATGGGAATGTTCTCAGGATGTTATCTAGTCCTCTGTGGAAATGAGATAGCCAGCCACCTTTATCACCACCCTCAGACTCAGGAGGGCCCCTGACCGTTACTGCAACAAGGACCACTAAGGCTGCCAGGGGACACCAACCAACTGGCTGCTGAAAAAATAACACTGCCAGGGAATTGGAAGCACTGCAAGAGAAATGACTGACAGGAGATTGGAAGGAGTCTTAAAGTTTGGGTGTAGTTTAACCCAGCCAATTCGAAAGACTTTTGGACTCTATAGTTGCTGTTTAGACTATGTGCTGAGTGTTTGAACAAGATTAAGTGTTAGGCATAAGGAAAAGCCCTACCGTGAGCCTTGACATCGTATCAAAAAAGATATTGAAAGTGGGGTGAAAAATCGAAAGAAGTCAAGATAGCTAGACGTAGTTATAATTGGCAAAAGAATAAACAGAAATAAAAAATCTTTGAGATATGCGATTTAACCGCAGCATCTCCATAGCAACTCTCTTTCAAGTTACATCTTTAATGAATAGGTAATGCACAAAATGAAAAATGCACAACTTCATAATGTCAGAACGGATGCCAAAACTGATGTGGGATTTACAAAAAAAGGAAGGTAGATCTTGTTTGACAAAAACCAATTTTGCTGCACACAACAGAATGTGTCAAAACAGCGCAGCAGCCTTTTTTTTGAAAAGAAAACACACAAGCACACACGCACACAATGTACCATGGCAACACAAATCTTCCTTCTGTTGCTGTTATTTTGACTGTCTGGCAAATCCACCTCTTGTTTTCAAAGCATTTTTTTCTCTAACAGGTGCAAAACCTCTCAACTCAACACATCAAAGAGACACATGCACCTGTGAATAAATCACAGCAAATGGTAAGAATCCAGACTAGGGCCTCCACCAACACCAAAGAGGTAGGATTCAAAGGGACTGATTTAATATTCATGAAGTGCAAGGCTTTGGTGGTTGAATGCTTGTTTACTGAGATGTGCCTTTTGTCCTTGGGAGAAGGATTGATTTTCTTCCATGCAACTGTATTTACATATACTTACATATACTACGTGATGTAACAGGCATGCAGTAACACACTAAACATGGCACATACAGTACGCACAGCCTGACACGACTAATGATTGGCATGTTATTTCAGCGTTCTCACTCTTCTGTCGAGTATTAAAAGCCTTACTGCTCTTCTGACAGAGCTAATGAGACTTTATGATTTTGAAGTGTTGGTGGCTTCTGTGCGGAGGAGTTGTTCAAGTTGTGGCAAGTCCAAAGAAAAGTGCAGTCTGCGAAATGCACCCACAGGGACAGAGGTGCCAGACAACCAGTCGAGACCAGGAACAACCAACCATCAAACCAGAGCACAGGTGTTTTTCCTTAATAAGCGCTTCTTTCTCTCTCATCAGCAACACTGCTGGCCTTCACAAAATATTTGACAATAGTTTAGGCAAAATAGCAAAATGCTCCAGGCTGTTGTCTCAGTGACATGGCAGAAATAGGGTTAAAACAGACCTGGAAACCATCAAAAGTAATCTCCTCATCAGACATCCCCCTCCTAATTGTGCACCTGCATCAGGGGATCGTTTTTTCTGACGGCGATGTGTCAGATAATCTCAAAGTGAAATCGCAAAAGGCCCACAGATTCACACAAACATCTCTCAGCCATCTTGTCTGAGAAAAGACTGAGGTCTGCTTCACCTTTTAAAAGTGAAACAAACGCCTACAAGGTCAGCGTGGTATGTGGATCAGCTAATTACAACAGCTGAAAGAAAGCTTGTGAGAAAAATCCATCTCCCCGGTGAGTATTTAAAGAAAGAAAGCAGCTGGTCAGAGCATGCTCTGGAGAAAACATCAGCTATTGGAGAGAGTGGTCGGGGACACTCTTCACTTAAGTGCTTTTCTCTGAGCAGTGCTCGCTGTCATTGGCTCCCACGCTTCCTCCTCTCTCTTTATGGGCTGCACACACACATATCCATCCTTTTCATCCCCTGGGGTGAAACAAGCCCATGCATTATGACTCAAATCAAACTTAATTTATTTCGCATGCTCTAATTGAATATCTCCATGTTGATATGTATTGAATAAAAATAGCAGGATCATTTTTCTAATTATTCCTCCCCCCCCTCCCACATTTTCTCTCACAGAACATGCATATTACACAGGGGTTTTGTGGCTATTACATTTTTCATACAACTTGGCCCTTGAACAATGAACAACTCACTGGCTAGGCAGGCCAAATGGCTCATGTAACCCTGCTGCCCTCTGCTGGCAAAACTGTGAACCACCAACAGTCCTCACGTAGACTAATAGTGGCACTCAAATCAGGCCTGTGCACACTGATGTTCAGATGCATCCATAGCTACGTTAACTCAGCTTATGCTAACTTGAGTTCAAATAACATTGTGCTACATTGCTATATTGCGTTTATGAAATGTTTGTAGCAACTTTGGCACATTTAATAGAGTCAACATTAGCTGATAGTTCATTCTTCTGCCTGAGGCTGACTGAACTCTCAACAGTTGAGATACAAAAAGTACCTGCCATTGATTCTGATCATTTTATCACCAGCCTTACAATATTAGAAATACAGAGATAAAATCACTTAAGTACTAGCAAAAGTATTGAAGTAGTTTTTGCAGGTTCTAAACTTTGAAAGTAATCACTTTGCATAGTTTCTATGCAATAAATGTTACTTAAACTATGTTAATGCTTTTTCCAATCTTGGAACATTTGATATTGAGTATGCTGTGGGATAAATCTTGGTTCACAATTTTTAATGGATTACAGCTCATATGCAAGTGAAGGAAGCTCTGTGCATGCTATGGCCCCCTAATGATGCCATCTGGGCATTAAATGTAAGAATATCTTAAGGCTTAGATGGTGTTGAGCAGTTGGTAGCTGCCAGCACTTGCAGGGTGTCAGACTGGTCAGAATCGTCTCGTCCGAACCACATAAACGTCTCCCCCGCCTGTGCCAAAGCTGCCTCTGCAGACTTCTGCCTGTGGTTGTGAGGGAAGCGCCGGTTTCTGGATGCAGAATCAACAACCTCCTTCACTATGAAGTCACTCTGGTAGGCTGTGGCGTTCCCTCGAGTCTCTTTGGTGCTATTGTCAGTTCCACCATGGCACAGGCAGAAACGGGAGATATGCTGTCTGCGATCATCAAGACACTTCCTTCTTCCCACACTCTGAAGTACATCAACATAGAATAGACACGGTCCCCTTTTAAAGGTATAATGTGGTGAATCTTGTGTTCAGCAAAACCTTGAACCTTTCACTACATACTTACATGAGAGAATACAATGACGTCGTCTTTTAAGGCGTGCTTGTTGTCATGGTCTGAGAAGGGATACTCTCTGGATTTCTGCAAGTTAACCCATAAAACTCATACTGGGAGAGCAACTAAATACAGAACTGTGATAGCAAGTCCAAGAAAAACTATCAAGGCCACTGGCAGTGACTATGATATCAAAAGCAGTAAGGCCATGCCTTATCTACATACACACCTGCTGACTTTTCCATTTAGGATAGCGTTGAAAGTTTAAAGCCTGAGGCAACGATGACTTCACTTGAGTCAGCATGATCCCAGTGCTTGTACAGTTCTCTCCAGTCTTTGTCTCATTTTCTGATAAACCTGGATGAGCAAACTGGGAACAAAATGAAAGAAAACCTAATTACACATCTAGGTTTAGAATGCTATGATTTAATTAAACCAATGAAATGAAGACTTCTTACCCATTTGCAATCAGTGCTCACTGAAAAATGACGCTTTCCGCCTTTTACCATTTTTCCACTACAGCTTGAGGTGTTTAGACCACAATCAGTAAAACCAAACATGCACTCCACAAACTGTGCAACTTAACTACTAATGCCAACACTGGTGACCATGGAAACAGGCAGCAAACAAACTGCAATCAGATCCTAGAGATCAGAAACTGAATTCTGATGATTAAAACAAAACAAAAAACAACCCCAAAACATTTTGAAATATTTCAGATTTGTAATCAAACAGAATGAGAAATACACCACAATGAAATTCTTAGTATTTAATCAGTTAAGGAATACAACATGCAATGTTTAAAATAATAGTCTTTGTTCAGGAGAGGGGATTTAAAAAAAAAAAGTCTCTTTATTTTCTTTTACAGGTGATAAAGAAGACAGTAACACATAATTACATACAAGAGTGTGCAGTAAACTAACACTGAGCTTGATTTTTCAAAATTACTAAATGTTTAATTCGTTGAACAGTAATTAAAATGTTAAAAAAAAAAAAAACAACTGAAAACTATATGAAGTTGTTTCAAAGGTTAACTGATTAAAAGAATAATAATCGTAGAACCGGAAGGGTTTGATGCATTGATCATGAAGATGATGTCCACATGTGATCAGCTAAACTTCAGGGTGACTTGTGATGTGAAACTAGGCACTCTAACTATACGTCACAAACAAATTTGCATAGTATAGTGGATCTTTAAATATATTTTTAGATAAATAATAAAAATAGATCCATGTGAGCAATTTGTCCTAACATTTGCAAAGAAAAACCAACTACATTTTCATTATTTATGTCATCATTTCATCTATAAGCACTGGGGAGAAAAAAAGTGTTCTCCCTGTGATCTGAAGGGAATATTAGGCCTGTGGTGGACCTGAGATGTGACACTGGTCTGGGAGTCCACTGTGCATATCTGTTGGATTATTGATCCCTGAGGACAAGATAGGCAGACACAAAACAATTACCACTGATTCTTTTGACCAAACATTGAATTAAAGGTCTTGAGCTGTAGATTAAAGTGGTGGGGGAAAAAAGACTTTAATGTATTCGCTATTATTGCAACATTCATACATTTTAGAATTCATTTTAAAATCTTGATACTGACTTTTAAAGCTTTGAATTGTGATGCCCCTGCCTACATTTCTGATCTGTTAGAACCCCACGCTCCCTCTCGCAGCCTGAGATCATCTAATCAAAGGCTGCTGCTAGTCCCACGAACACGTTTTAAGACCAGAGGAGAGAGATCTTTTAGAGCGGTGGCCTCCAGGTTGTGGAATGCTCTCCCTCCATCATTACATTGCATTGATTGCATTTATTCTTTTAAAAAGCAGCTTAAGACTCATTTATTTAGACTGGCTTTTAATTAGATTTGTGCTGAATGTTTGATTGTGCTATTTTTTTTGTTTACCTGTTTTTATTTTACTGTGAAGGACTTTGTAGTTTTTATGCTGTGAAGAGTGCTATATAAATAAATTGAATTGGAAAAAAAATCTTGCTCAAAAATAGCATGATATCAAAGTGGTTGCATGTGAATTTCCTATTAAATCCTTAACTACCATTAGGTTTTATTAGTAGCTGGGTCCAAGAGTTCATATTCAGTACTTCATGTACTGTAACTCTTATGAAGTTGCCACTGCTATCTAGTTAGATGGTTAAAAGCAAACAAACAAAAAAATATCATTTTGCACTATTGTCTCATTTTTTCATTAGCACACTTGTCTTTAACCTACGACCTAAAGCTTCTTAATTTAAAGAGCAAAAAGGACGGCCTAAAAGTCAGCCATTTGTTTGCATCTAATGTGTGTTAATATCTATATGCAGATTCTTACTCTGAATGGCTGATGTAGACTGTGCTGCATCACTTGAAGAATTGGTCGGCGTGGGCTCATGCTCTTTCCCCACACCTTTCTGGAGGTGCTTCTTCAGATGTTTGGTCAAATGTTGCCACCTGGTAAAAGGGAGCAGTCCCAGACAACTTTTAAGCTTTAAAGTGTGACCATGCTATCATATAAAGTTAACATATTTAAATTTTTGAGCTTTGCAAGTCACACAGAAACTCCTGAACTCATTATCTCACCTTGCCTGAGTGATGTTGTAATTATTCAGCCTGTCCGCTTCCTTTATTTTCTCCTCCATCCATCGCTGTAATAGCCGTTCTTTCTCTCTCAGTGCATCTGCAAGAGCTTCCTTTAGGCACTGCTGATCCACACGCAGGGCTGCTAACTCTTTGGATTGACACTCTATGGTGAACTCATATTCTGAAAGGGCTTCCTTCAGGGTGTTACTCCCTTTAGCCAGAGTAAGTGCCTCTTGATGGAACTGAGACACACTGTAACAGCAAAGTATTATAATGGTGATGAACTGATCCCTTATATTCTGAATACAAAATCCCAACAATCGGCCTAACCTGGAAAATTATACTTCTTTATTTCAGTGGTTCAGTATTCCTACGAATATAAAATAAATTTATTATATGACCAAATTAACTGTTTACTACTCTAGGATTAATTGGCAACATATTGACTAATTATGGGGAAACTCAATTTGAAAAATACCTTTACTAGATCTGAAATATACCGTGAATTAACACTTTCCTCAATCTGGTCCATCATGTGTTGCTTTTACATTGTCTGTGTCACCTAGTGTGTTTTTTTAATCTTGGAATCATAGTCAGTACTAACCAAGGTATTTGAATTACCGTGATTGCCAGTACTGTACTTCATCTTCTTTGAGATGGAGGACGGTGGTAAGGTCGGAGACAGTTTGAGATAACTGGGTAGGCAAAACAAAGGGTGAAGTGACCCAGATCAAAAGCAGACAACAGCACACACCCATTAAAGATGATTATTAAAGTATTTTCTCCACTCCTCTGAACCAGTTGCAATAATGAATGTTTATTTATTTATTCATTTTTTAAAATAAAGGTCAAATGCTCTGAAAGTTGTTTCATATTGTGAGATGTGGTGTTCATGCATATCAGTGCAAATATGCTGCTCTGCATTTTACGTAAACGTCTTCCCTGTAGTAGAAAGTTTGAGCCGCTGGGGCGTTTAATCATTGGATTACTCCTCATTTAACCCACCTTATCTACCAGGTGCTCACTCTCTCTCAGCCGGAGTCGAAGCAGTGTGGCGTTTCCCCCAACCTCAACTCCATGTCTTTCTAAACTGAAAATAAAAACAAGTGAGCAGATTTAAAATACTTTACAAAAAAAAAAATCAAGCAGAGGACAAACCGATCAGCGCAAACGCCAGATGTAGGGTAAGTTCAATTCTGCATTTCTAACCTCTGAGACTGAACATCAGCCAAAATCTCGTCGCGAAGTTCAAAGCGTTCCTCCAGCTGAGACACTAAAAGAAAACAGGCAGACGTCCTTAGGCTCTGATAGGGAGGACAGCATCAAGAGAGGCAGAGAAAAGTTAATCTTACAGCTTGTGAAAACGCCAACAAAGGGGAGCTTTTCTCTGTGGTCTCTATGCTGCAGCCCTTGGCGCACGTGATTCTTCCAACTTCCCATTATAATGGACACTTTAAGGAAAAACCTGTCACGTTTGCGCATCCAGTATAGACTATACTAAAGCAGCTGGATCACAGCGTCTTCTGCCCGCACATGAAGTCTGTGTCATCCACGCAGGAATTAAATGCACTCAGCAAAGTTTCACAGCTCCTCCCTTTTCACTCACCAGCTTGACATTCCACTACTGGCTAGACATTCTTACAAGGATCCCTATTATATTATATTATATTATATTATATTATATTATATTATGGACAGCAGAAACATTAGTACTCGAATATAATAATTACTTAGATGCTTAAATTGTCCCTCCACTGCTAATATTTTCATGACTTATCATCTCATAATTTATAAAAATATCCCTGCACCTAAATGCTTTTGTTTGAGATGCTTTTTTACACATTTAAAAAAGTATCACAACTTTTTACAGGTTTTTAACAGCTAAATACCTGAACAGAATTGCACTGGAATTGTTTGCGTACCTCACACTGAATCAAATTGTTTAAAAAGAGAAAAGTCACACCACATGCAAAGCTCACGTTAAATTAAAAACAATGGTGTGAACAGGGAATTTCAGAATAAAAGGTATCAGAAGAATGTGCTCCACTTTTCCAGAAAGAACTTATGAAAACACTTCCGGTTCATCTATTTTTCACAATAAATCGTTTCAGATAAAATATTTTTCCTTTACTAAAACAAATATCTAAAGTTATAGCTTTAAAATGTAAATGTAAAGATGTTATTATTATTGAAAAGTTTTATTCTTCGAAACAACTGATAAAATTAGTTTTGTAACTCTTTTTGCCTTGAAACAGGAAGTTGTTGTTGGCTTATTGCTAGCGCTTGCGACTGCTCTGTCAATAGACTGGCTGCAGGCTACAGGGTTGTGTAAGTAGTCACGGAGCTAAGAGCTAAACATTAGTCGTTTACAAAGCAAGGAAAACTGTTCGCCTTCGTGTCGTTTAGGTTTAATTAGTCTAGTGAAACTTCCATTTTACAGCTTTACGTGCCAGGGTTTCTTTATCGAGGAGCTAGCTTGTCAAGCTAACTAACTTTGCCAACATGTTGACTTACCTCATTCGTTATTCGACTGATGTATAGACGGTCCACGGCTTGTCGAAGCCATGGATATGTTATTTGTTTATTAAATCGGAGTTGTTTGGTGAATTAGATCTTTGTATGTCCAGTATGAGCGCATCAGCTGGAGACGGAGAGCCTTGCACCCCCTTGGATAATGCAAAGGAAGAAGTCAGTGGTCCTACCTGCACTGGAGACAACAGTAAACATGTAAGTAACTAGTCTGCAAGGATAATCTACCATCTAGTATGTAGTATGTTGTCATGTATAACACTCTTTAATTAGTATTTGAAGTGCTAATGTTGAGTTAGGCTACAGTGGATTTATAGTGCCATCTGTAAACATCCTATAACTTTAGTGAGAGTGGGAAGCAGGTGAAGGAGAGCCTGATGAGGTGGATGAATGCTCTGGAGAGAAGAATGAAGGTCAAGAAAAGCAAGACATAATACATGTGAGTGAAAAAGAGCGAGACAGGTGACAGGGGAGCGAGACAGTGTAGATGAAAGGAGTAGAAGTAGTGAAGGTAAAGGATTCCATATGCCTGGGGTCATCATCATCAAGTAACGGACAGTACACAAGAGCATTGAAGAAGTGAGTGCAAACAGGGTGGAGTGGGTGAAGAGGAGTTCCAGGTGTGATTAGTGATAAAAGGACATCAAAAAGGCCTACAAACCTACTGTGATATATGGTTTGGAGACCGCGACACTGACAAAAATGGCATTTGGGCATTTGCAGGAGAGAGATAGTGGATTTACTGGGCAAAAGATGTTAAATATGGAGCTGGAGGAAAAAAGACAACCAATGAGATTTGTGGAAGCAGTAAAGGAGGAAATGCAGAGAGTTGGTTTGACAGAGTATAATGGTACAGATGGGTTGAAAGGAGGCAGACGATCCACTGTGGTGATCCTAAAAGGGTGCAGCTGACAGAAGAACATCAGTGTGCATACTATACTCATGATAATCAACTGCCAGACATATCCTTATTTAAATGTTACTCTGTCAGTGCTGTCCATTCATTCTCACAAGCTTGATATTGTTATTTTTAGGAATCCTCAATATGCTCAGGCAGCAGTGAAATAAAAAGCCGTGCTGTGGTCAAGTACTGCGCAGCCCCACCACCTACCAGCTATGCCCTCCTGCAGGAAAAGACCGACTTGAAGCTACCTCCTGCCAACTGGCTGAGAGAAAACCCCCAGCTGGGCAGCGCTGGGACCACTATATTAGGATCTAGCAGCAAGAGCAAGCCCTTTTCCAGGTATAATTTAGAAAAGGGGGCACGGGTTTAGTTTTTATGGGAAAGATTGAATTTGAATTGGTGTCGAGCTCATGACTGAGGTAGATAGGCACCACTTTTATCATTACACCAAGTATTAAATCTTTTGCTTAAATGTAATTTGCGAAATGGTTAACTATATGGCAAAAATAACTAAAGAGGGCACAGCATGAGTCAGAACCAAATGCAGTTAAAATTATGGATAGGTACACACTGGACAATGCAAATGCCCAATGTATACTTTGGCTTTCACCACCACTGGTGTGGGTGTGTCTGAATGAAATCATAAGAAACAAGAAATTAAGAAAAAAATGTTAGTTATATCTTATTACCTTATTTAAAAAAAATGGTTTACTTCTCAAGATTACATTTATGAGGATATGCAGCTTTAATACATTCAGTTCTATTTCTTCGAGATGTTGCGACTATGTCTGGATGAGAGAAGAAACTAGGTAAAGTTTCTATTAGCAGCAGATATTCTTTTCCTAATTGTGAAAATCTGCTTAGCAGATCACCTGTGTTACTGGTCCTTATGCACTTGTGGAGACCCATGAAGACTGATACTCTATCCGCAATAAACGAGGTGTGGAATGGAGTATAGCATAGTTGCAAAACTATGGTTCAAACTCACAGTGGAGGACTTTTCACTACATAATTCAAAGTACTAAAACCCCCCAAGCTGCTGCACTTTCATTTAGGATGTGAGTGGGTAAATTATGGATACGCTTGAAGACGAAGACTTTAATTATTGCTATGCAGTTAGTTTGTATTGAGTAAACTGTTTTTCTTCTTTTGCAGTTTTGGGATGGCGTACGAGTTCATCGACTGCATCGGAGATGATGTTGATGTGGTTTCAGACTCAGAGGTTTGTGGAGCTGCTGCAGAGCTATTTCTTTGTTAGCTTCAGAGGCATGCAGTTGATGTTAACAGAATTCTTTTTTTTACCTTCAGAACATCAAGAAGCTTTTGAAAATTCCCTACAGCAAGTCCCATCTGAGTATGGCAGTTCATCGTGTGGGGAGGACTTTGCTTTTAGATGAGCTGGACATTCAAGAGCTTTTCATGAGATCCTCTCAGGTACAGCCGAGCGACACTTTTTAAAATCAAGAGGATATTGCCTCCATTATTAATTTTAACTGTGAAGTAAGGGGCATCTATCAATGTTTAACATAAAAGCTTGATGAATAGGGAGTCCCAATGGATATTTTTCCAGTGATTGATTTATTTATTTTTGTGTTATTTATTTCCTGTTCCTGTTTCAGAGAAAATACATTTTTACAGAACTCTAAAACTGATGTTTTAGATTTAGTAAAAACATTGAGAACATTTCACCCTGTGCAAAATTGATGTGACACAACAGATTAGTTTCGCCCACTGAAATGTGTAAATGCAATTTTTATTTTTTTAACAATATGCTGAAGTGAATATTGGCTAGTACCAATATTAAAATTATTATTATTGTTATTAATCATGGTAGTAACTGTTAAGTGAATATATTATTTAACTCTCAATGCAACTTATGTGTTGTAGACAGGAGACTGGACATGGCTGAAGGAGTTTTACCAGCGGCTAATAGATCAGAAGTGGCAGAGAAAAAAGAAGAGTAAAGAGCACTGGTATCAAAAAGCAATCCTGTCAAAGTTTCTCTATTATAGGTGAGGAGTTGGCTTTGCTCGAATAAATGCTGGAGTTGAACGAGAGTTATTCTTCAATCTGATAGTAAAACAACTTTTTTGTTTTCGTTATTGTTTTGTTTCTTGCAGTATAAATGGTGATGGGGCTGCTGAGCCTCAATCAGATGGCCTGAATGAAGGAGAGGAGGACAGTGGTGCTGATGAGTTCAGCTCTTCATGGCCTACAGCCTTCACTAGCACGTCTAATGCAGAAGAATCAGAAGCTCCCAAACAGGTAAGTTAAGCTTTTAGTCATCTCTGGAATTAAATTTTGTATTTGTTCCACATTCAAAAGTATTTTGTGTCACATGAGATGAAATAAAAATGAAGTGTGCTGTTAAATGTGCAGGAAAGTGTTACCGTCGACAGCAGTTTTGCTTTGGGCCAGGTGACCTCTGTTCCTAAAGAGCAAAACCTCCCGACAATCTTCAACGAAGGAGAGAACGGCCAGGTAACACAATCTTTTCATCCTTCCTTAATAGTATAATACTACAGCTAAAAGCACATGCCCTGTGTCTACATGTATCTTCTGATTTTTTTATTTTTTATTTTTTTACACTTTGATGTCCCTTGCATGACAGGGTTTAAGAAATGACTTTGTACGAAACATCATGTGGACTTTTGAAGACATACACATGTTGGTTGGGTCCAACATGCCTATTTTCGGTGGTGGTCGTTATCCTGCCGTCAGTCTGAGACTCAGGTAGGATTTTAATTCATTGGTTCCTACCCAGGATCTGAAATTAGCACTCGTTAGGAGCTAAATGACAGTGCAGTCATGCATTTTAATTGTATTTCAATTTGATTCTTTTAGCTCCTTCTGGGTATTTGTCTCACCAACATAATGTTAAATTATTCTTATGACATAATGAAACAGTTATGTAATAGGTTGGCATACATTATGTAGGGCAGCGGTCCCCAACCCCCGGGCCTCGGACCGGTACCGGTCCATGACTCGTTTGGTACCGGGCCGCGAGAGTTGAGGCTCAGGTGTGAAATGTGTGGTTTTCAGGGTTTTTATCGGTTTTCAGCGTTATTTTGTTACCGTTTTTATCGTTAACTCAGCTTTCCTGGGTCTTTTCATGTGTGTTATGAATAAATCT